TTAGTTCTTTCCTTCTTTATGGCTGGATAAAAAGAGAGGGAATACACTGCTAGGATACAGAATTGTGTATTGTAAAGACGAAGGATTGAAACGGAGCAAGCAAGCAAGTCCCCATGTCCTTTGCTCAGCCCTGTCATGTGGCAAAGGTGAGCTGTTTCAGAGAGCCACACTGATGGATCTGTGGATCTTAGGAGCTAGAGAGAAACTTGAAAATTTCCAACCTTGAAGCACCGAAGAATCTATAGTCTTTTGAAAGAAGAGAACATTGTACGGCTTTCCTTGGTAATTCACACTAATGCTTTAACAACTTTCAGCATCAGGAAATTCTTCCGAATGAGTTACAGCCCAAATTCTTCATGCTGCTTAAGCCTGCTTCTCCTTGTGCTCTCAGTGGAGGGATTGAACAGCTGGTCACAGGCCCCTATGCAAGAGCCATTCACATAATTGAAAACTGTTATTAAATCGCCCCTTCAGCCACTCTTTCTTGCTCATTCTCACTCTTTTTTTCATGGCTAAATAATCCCAGTTCCCTTGTGCTGTTCCTCAGGTCTTTCAAAACCATTAATTAGCATTGTGCCTTTCTGCCAAGACTGCTCAAAGTTCTAGGTCAGTTGTAGCTACCCGAATTAGACGCTGTTTCCTAAGAAGGATTTCAACAGCAGGGAAAGGAGTGAGATAATTTCTGTATGCTGTACTTTCTATGCCTTTAGTTGTGTATTGCACCCATAGTCTCCCTCGTTGATGTTTTTGCACCTACATTTCTTGCTGATTCAGATTTTCTGTCTTTTAGATGAACAAAAGCTATGTTATACTTTCTCTATTCACTAGGAATTCCTATTCTGTGGTGTGTTTTTCAAAAATTAATCAAAAGGCAGAGTTACAGAGGGATGGCGAGAGAGCGTGCAAGTGTGCTTGCATCATCTGCAGGTTCACTTCTCAGATGGCCACAGCAGCCAGAGCTGGGCCAGTCTGAAGCCAGAAGCTTCTTCTGAGTCTTTTACATGGGGGCGGGGGCCCACCTTCTGCAGATTTCCCAGACAGATTAGCAGGCAAGTAGATTGGAAGTGGAGCAGCTGGGACTGACACACCTTGCTTGGGATACTGGCTGGCAGTGCAGGTGGCAACTTTACCTACTATGCCACACTGCCAACTTCTGCAGCATGTGTTTTGATCCCTCATTAGTTATTTAAACATCAGTTGGGAAAACTGTATGTAAACTTGGAATAAGCCTAATTTGGAATAAGCATCTGATAGAAAGAGCACGTGAACCAGAGAGAAAGCCCTAGAGAGAGATACCAGTCTCTTCCATGTACAGACTCACTCCCCGCAGTTGCCTCCAAAAGCTGGAACAGGGCCATGGCCCTAGGTAGCAGCCAGGAACGCTATCCAGGTCTTATATGTGTGTTGTGCGGAAACAAATACTTGGCCCATCACCCACTTCCTTTTCTGGGTGCTCTTTAGCAGGAAGGTACATTGCAAGTAGAGGTGGGATCCAATTCTGGGCACTCCCAAGAAGGGATGCAGGCATTCCCAGCCATCTGAATTAGTAACACTTTTCAAAAATTTGCTTTTCTGTAATGGTTTCTTTCCTGGCTAGAGGTTTTTTCTTGGTTTTTTTGTTTTTTGTTTTTAAGTTGCTTTCTAGGCCACTGGAACAAGAGATTGTTAATGGTGCGTATTGTAGTTGAACAGTGAACAAGTCACCTGACAGTCTCTTTGTCTTTGTACCACAGAGAAACTTGCGCAACAGAGATGAAGTGATCATAGAACTGAGAAAAGTCATAGTTAAACAACCACAGAGGGCTAATCATGGATTTGTGTTGACTTGATGTGTAGGCTGCAGTAGGTGGCTCATGTTTGACTTTGACCTGTTTGATAGGTCACCTGTTTGATATTTTGATGTGAAGCCAAAACTTAAATCTAAAATATAGATGTTACCCATGGTAGGGAAGAACAGCTAATTTGTTGACTGTAAGAGTCAGGATTCTTACAGATGTTGATGAGATTGTACAGTATGCTCAGACTGATAGGAATGTCCTTGACATAACAAAAACAAAGCAGTCTCAACTGGGCAAGTGTAGAGAAAAGAGCTAAGAAAAGTAGTTCCCGTAATACCCAGTAGGATAATAATACTTCGTGCTGTTCACAGACATTGTTAAGTTTAAAAAGGGCAAAGATCTTAGGATCACTATTAAGTGTGGAAATTGTGGAGTCAAAGTTGAATTGGTTTCTCTGCCTGATGGGCTCCTTTGCTTTTAGTATAACATGTGCTAAGAATTTTAAGAGGCAGTTCTAATGTGCAGTGTTTCCATAATTAATCTGGCCTTCTTTGCATGAGGTGTTTTGCTAGTTGATTGATCTGTTGCACACACTGGGAAACGCTGTCCCAGAGATTTTAGTGGAATAGAAAACGAGTGTGAGCCTACAGTACACGAAAAGGAAGCATTCTAAGTATGCTATACTGAGAAATCCAGGTACCATTTCCAGTAGATCATGTTTGCAGGATATTTTTCTAAGGACAGTGGAAGACTGAGCCAAGCCATATAGGAAAGAAATGAATAAGGATGAAGAGTCATGAACAGAGGCCGGCAGTAAGTGCATTGTTAAGTGTTAGCACTGTAGAAGGTTAAGCTATAACCAGGGATGCCTGCATCCTCTATCAGATTGCTTGGTTTGAGTCCTGCCTAGTGCACATCCAATCCAGCTTCCTGCTGATGTGCCTAGGAGGGAAGTGAAAGATGGCTCTCTGAAATAGGTCTACTAATATTTCCATTTTGTAGCAGAGGAAAATTAATACACAGAGAAAGTTGTTTTACCAAGGTCACCCTGGCAGGAAGTGGCAAAGCTGGGGCTTGAACTCTGCTTCCATCTGCCATGTTTGTGGACTTGAACTCAGTATGATAAAGTGCTTCTGACAATGGCACCTGTACACACATACTCAAGATCACTCTTGAAGGACATATGCCTTCTCAGAGGGGTGATATTTATATAGTGGCTGAAAAAGCACAGTGGCTTGGAGTTGGGGCTCTCTGAAGGCTGATGTCACAGCTCTGGTGCCATTTGAAAAAGATGGGGTGACTTGTGTGGTCCCTTTCATCTTTGGGTTCTAGAATTCCTTTTATCATTCATTCATTCATGTATTTATTAAGAAAAATGTTCTACAGTGTACCTCTGTGATGGCACCCTACACAGAGAAAAATGCTCAACAAAAGGTTTTGACAAGTAGTTTGAACTGGTACTATTGGTGGCTGGGAAATCCAAAGTTAAAAAGCTCATTATAAAGCTGTCAAATTTATAATTAAGGGTAATGACTGGCATACTGCTGAAGTGGTGAGTATAGCCCTCCTACCTTATTGTCTAAAATATGCTGGATTCTGCATTAGGAAACCATATGCCAAAAGAAAGAAGCATCATGGGTTTGCAGTTAAAATACTCATTACTTGCATGACACTAAGGGCTCCATGTCTCATAATTGGTTCAGACTGATGGTGGAATAACTAAGGTCCCTGCCCTTTACTAAAGGGCAAAGGCAAATGAAAATCCTCACTGGAGGAGGCATACTCATTCTCAGGGTATCCTCAGAGAATGCTTTCAAGGTCAGAGTAGTACATCCTAAAAAAATCACACAAGAAGTCAAGGTGAGTGGGAATCAGCAGATCACAGAAGGAAGACATGTACAATCAGGAGAAAGAGAGGTGATTGTTCAGGGCTGAAGGAAAGGGCTGCTGCTTTACTGTGCAGATAACTCTGACAGCTAGGCCTGGGCCAGGCCAAAGTCAGGAGGCAAGAATTAATTCCAGGTCTCCCACATGGTTGCGGGGGTCCCAAACACTTGGACCATCCTCCACTGCTTTCCCAGGCCAACTAGCAGGGAGCAGGGACTCAAATCGGTGCCAGTATGGGATGCCAATGCTGTGTATGTGGAGGAAACACAGCTAGGCCACATTATGCCACAGCATCAACCTTGATAGGATTAAAAAATTTTAAAGATTTATTTATTTAACTTGAAAGTCCTATGGGGAGGTGTGGGGTGGAGGGGAGAGAAATATCATCCCCCAAAGGCTGCAAAAGTCAGAGTTGGCAGGATCCAAAGCCAGAAGCTTCCTCTGGGTCTACCCATGGGGACAGGGTTCCAAGGACTTGAGCTCTAATCCTCTGCTTTCTCAAGCCACAAACAGGAAGCTGGATTTGAAAGTGGAGGACTGGCACTTGAACTGGTGCCCATATGGAGTGTCAGCATTGTACACAGAGGGTTAGGCTGTGCCCCTGCCCTGACAGATTGTTTTTCTTTTTGACAGCTGTATTTATGCTGTTAAAAAAAAATAGATACCATTGAAAGTATGTATAACGAATCACCCACTGTAGAAGTAACTTTGAAAATTAGCAGAATTGGGTCCGTCGCAGTAGCCTGTGGCTAAATCCTTGCAATGCATGCAGCAGGATCCCGTAAGGGTGCCAGTTCATATGCTGTCTGCTCTGCTTCTCACCCAGCTCCCTGTCTCGCATTAGTTCTGTGGCCTTTGAAATGTCTGATCTGCATCTCACTGTTCTTGTCTGGAAAATGTGACTTTGGAATCATGTGAATGTAGACGCCTCTTGTGACTGCAGGAAAAGTAGATTCCCTAGAACTAAAGGAATCCATAGTTCCCCAGCTGGTTTATTTTGTCTTTCTCTTTTGCAATTTTATTAGCAAACATTTGCAGTTTATTTCTGGCTAACTTTCATGTGTCTGATGGAGAACTAGAGGTAAATAAAGCAACATTGAGGTATGGGTTTTGCCTTATTTCGCATGTTATCATCTAGTAGCCAGGAACAGTAAGGGCAGTTTACTGAAGCCTAAGGGACTGGAGTCCCACAGATGTCAAGTGAATATTTGCAGAAATGAGCTTTGAAAAACACAGACTACACTATGCATCTATGGTTATTTCTCTTTTACTTTGTTAACTTTCTCCTCCTCTTTTCTTTTTTGACCTGCTTTTTCTCTCTTCCTGTCTTTACAGGCCAATAATAAGCCCGAGATTGAAGCAGCACTATTTCTGGACTGGATGAGACTGGAGCCCCAGTCCATGGTGTGGCTGCCTGTCCTGCATAGAGTGGCTGCTGCGGAAACTGCCAAGCATCAGGCCAAGTGCAACATCTGCAAGGAGTGTCCCATCATTGGATTCAGGTATCCAGAAGCAAACTAAAGCTACTTCCTTCCCTTGTCACTTCTCACTTTTTTATCATTGGCTCCTTCATCTCCTGACCAGTCATCATTAGTTTGTTCCTCTCCATAGTGGGAGAAAAGTAGCCTGGCTGGACCATCCATCATTCCTGGCACTCCGTGGTCACTGAGATATTTTTGTGGATCTGACTCATTAGGCAGGTGTCCCTATCCACCTTGACTCTGCAAAGGCCCATTTTCCTTTGAACAAGACTGGATGCCCATGTCTACAGAAATGTTTGTGTGTCAAGGGCATACAGATTAACTGTACTGTGTCCTTTCTAAAACCAAAACATTTCTACCATCTATCTTTTCTCATGGTCTTTTCTATTTTTAGAAAACTGCAAAAATCAGTTATAACTCGAAGGGATTATTCTTTTTGGAACGACCATTGTGGTAGCTTAGTGCTGCATTTACCTTGCATCACCTTTTCTTTCTTAAGTAGCTAGAATTGTACCAAGTATCCTAAAATTTACATCTTTATCTGAATCACATCATGTGTTTACCATAGTGACCTAATGAACTCTAAAAGGAAATGAAAAATATGAAAGTGAAAGACTCATAATAGAGCTAAAAATTCCCAGTTTTTCAGTATAAATTTAAACAAAAGGAAGGAGCATACTTACTTTCCAATTCTACTTCTGATCCAGTTTCCTGCTAATGTGCTGCTTAGGCAGCAGTAGGCAATGAATGACTCAGGTCCTTATGTCCCTGCTGTCCAGGTGCGAGACCCTGGTTCCTGGCTTTGTCCTGGGCAGGGCCTCACGAGGTGACTGTTGGAGGAGGGAAGCAGCATGTGGAAAATAGCTCCTCTCTCTTCTCCTCTCTCCCCTCTTTTCTCGCCTTTCTTTCCCTTCCCTTCCTTTCCCTTCCCTTCTCTCTCCTCTCCTTTCTACTAAAGGACAGAGATAAAACATGGCAGTATTCTAATATTCTTAAAATACCATAGAAAACACCTGGCTCTTAAATGGTTAGCCTTGTTGACCTCTTTGGGGGTAACAGTGTATTTCTTTTAGTGGATTAATTTTATTCAATAATAATAATCCTAAGGCCTAACTCTGAAATAATGCTGCATGTAAGCATCTCAATCAACATCAGGGTTTCTATAGTAATGAGTAGCCACAGTGCTGTAAAGTAACTGTATAGTTAGTATGGGATGCACTTAGGAGCTAACACCCAATTCTAATGATAAGTCTCTTATACGTACTGCTTAATTACTGCTTTGTACGATTTCTATTCATGGTACTCTTTTACCATTGGTGTTTATCTTTGATGCTGTTGGAGGAGAGGTTTTACAAAACTCTGCAGGGATTGCTAAAGGCGAGTTAGTCCACAATGAGTGATTGGGAAGGTAAGCATGAGGATGTAGGGCAGTTAATATCTCCATTTTGTAGCAAAGGAAAATTAAATATTCTGTAGCCTCTCATTTTCCTTCTTGGTTTGGGGAAGGGAAAGAGTGATGCCGTGGGGGATGGCGTGCGGGGCAGCCACAAAGGGGAGTATGTTTAATTTTCTCAGCTTCCTTAGCTGGTTACATTTGGATACAAGGGACAGTTTTATAAAATAAAGAAGAATGCTTTGAAAGATGTAAGAGAGCATTTTCACCTTCATTTCTTGTGCCATTATCAAATTAGATTATTTTAGGAATCATCGCTTCGCTTTCTTCCTTTCCCCCTCTTAAAGATGGTTGGGTTCTAAAAAAGGTAGCTTCTCTTCTCACTCTCCCATATGTGACATAAGGAATGTGTTTATTTGAATTGGCTCAGGCTCTTATCTGAGCAGGAACAGTAGGAAGTAAAGAATATAGTATTCTGAGAATAGGGGAAAACGCATTGCCTAGTGTTCAAATCTTAATCCATATTTTGTCTTTTCCTGAGGCTTCAGTTACCACCTGTGGAAAATATCAGGAGGGATTTTTGAAGAGACAGGGAGAAAGAGAGCAAGGAAATGGCGCAAATGCTTAGTTGAAGACAAATTGTGTGAGGCAATCCAGAAATGCAATTGAAGCAAGTCTTATTTTAATTGAGAATTCCTGTTGAAATGATTTTGAAAATAATCGGTTTAGAAAACTTTTGTCCCCGTAATAGGTGTGGGGCATACAAAACATCACTCTGTCTCTTCTGGAAGTTCTTCCAAATTCAAGTCTTTGCTCTTGTAAAGATTGGAAATCTGCCAGTACTTTCCAACTTAATTTGAAAGAGTTCCTCCTGGAATTTCAGTAAGAGCCCAGTTGCCTTCCCTCCTTCCATATGTTTACAGGATGATCTTTGTGCCAAAATGTTGTGATACTATAGGAGAAGCACCAGAGAAATCTGGAGATCGGAAGTTAATCACTCACCTTGTGGGACTAATGAATATTACATTCTGTTTCTAGTGTTAAGACAATGTGATAGGTGGTTTATTAAAGAGTGTTCTTGGGAATTGGATTTGAAGATACACATATGTGTTTGTTTTTGTTCTCTACCAGGTACAGGAGCCTAAAGCACTTTAATTATGACATCTGCCAAAGCTGCTTCTTTTCTGGACGAGTTGCAAAAGGCCATAAAATGCACTATCCCATGGTGGAATATTGCACACCGGTAAGTTAGCTGCCTCCTGCACGTGAGTTACTTCACTGGGCATGACTTTCAGCTTTGGGCAGCATTGCAGATCATGTGAAATGCTGTGAGCTCTATGTTCCCCCGATGTCTACTTGCTAAAGTAGCTCTAAATTCTAAAGTGTAGGGGTTTGCCCCATCCCTGGTACCTACAGGAATACCTGGCACACTTGGCAGATGGGAGGCACTCCAGAAATTCTGCCCAGTGAATGGATAGGATTTGCTTCTGTCACAGATGTTGTAGGTAGATATTTGCATATGTATTTTTGCTTGGCCCTAGAGTTGATGTGGGGAAGTCTTATGACCTTGGGGCATGGTTGTGGCCTGTAAGTTCCCCCAAACTCATAGCCTAGCAATTTCAATCTGTGTTTCTCACCATTTGACTGTTGTATATCCTGACAGTGCTGTTGGTTTTATGTAGTGATGCTTGCCAACAAAATGCTTAGTGTTTCCCACTGAAACCTTTCTGCATGGAACTGGAGTTATTATAGGAGCCCCATTTGTATGGATGAGAACTCTGGGGTCCCAGTGTTAGGGAACTGAAGCAAGGTTTTTAAGTAGGAGGTGGAGCCTTCAGAAATGCCATTGTACCTGGTCAAACCTTGAAAAGTTACTGATGAAAGGACCTACACATTGTGCTCACACCTACTTTGGTAAAAGTCTCACATCCTCTGAACGCTAGATTCTCTGTTTTCAAAGGGTGATGTGTTGGGTAGCAACACAGGTGTTACCTTGGAGCTCACTGGACGTGCAGAACCTTAGGCCCCAGCTCCTTAACTTTCTCAGTTGAAATCTGCTTTTTAACAAGATTTGCAGGTGGGTCCTGTGTACAGTAAAAGTGTGAGAAGCTCTGTAGCAGAGCATTTCTCTCATCAACAGAATCGCCACCTCCCCTGAATATTTCATTATGTTTCTAGTTTGTGTTCATCTTCAAGAGGTAGTCTGTGATGGAGAACACACCATGCTATGGAATAGACACGCTCAGTGGGGGGAAGCATGGGGTTAATGTGGACTGCATCATTTTTGAAAGACCATAAATTGTAAAAGTTAGGATCAGTTTTTCAACCTTAGAACTTCTTTCAGTTGCCACTGGTTAGGCATTGTGATAGCTTGTCTTGTTCATCTTTTCCTCACAATAACTTGGAAAGAAACAGCACTTGACCCCATACTGCAGCTGATGGGGGCTTGAAGAGGTAACTCACTCCTTCACACTAGTAATGGCCTGCTTGCAAAGCCCTTACACATCATCCCGTGCAGGCTGCCATTACAGAATAAGTGCCTTGAGGTACAAAACTAGCATGGCATGGCCATTTTCTTTTCCAAGTCAGACTCCTAAATTCCATCTCACTGTGGTTTCCTTTTTAGACTACATCAGGAGAAGATGTTCGTGACTTTGCCAAGGTATTAAAAAACAAATTTCGAACCAAAAGGTATTTTGCGAAGCATCCCCGAATGGGCTACCTGCCAGTGCAGACTGTCTTAGAGGGGGACAACATGGAAACGTGAGTAGTGGCTAAGGCCAAACAGCTTCTCATTTGATGTAGCTGAACTCCTCTCTCAGTTGAATACCCTCCTTCACTCCACAATGCAAACAGTCTCTTCTCTTCAAATTTTCTGTAGCTGCAGCCAGAAAAGCAAGCTGGTGTTCAGTTGTGATATCACCATGTATTTGATGGTTACTGTTCCCCAAAGAGAAACTTGGCTCTGATGGGTGTAGGGAAAGGGGAAGAACCCATTATTACCATCGGTTGTTTTCCTCTTAAGAATCATGAGACTGTTTACAAATGAGTGATTCCAGTATTTCATTTTGATTTTCTTCCCTCGCAAATCAGTAGATGTGTGTCTTTTTGTATATCTGACTGTGGTCATCTCTAGTCACTTTTTCTACTTGAAAGGAAATATAGTCACAGGAGGTTACTTCGCAGTAAGTAGTGATGATTCTCATGATCAAACTGATGGTGTCTTCAGCTGTTTAAAACCTTCTGCTTGCTTTTCTCCATAATTCTGATGGCAGTCACACACCTGGGTTGTTTTTGTTTGTTTAATTCACTTTCTGCTTTGATTTGGCTGTTGCTTCCCATGGTTCATACTTCACTGGTTTTATTTTATTTATTTGGATCTTTCAGTAAGATTTTTTTTTGCTTGGTTTTTTTTTTGTTTGTTTGTTTGTTTGGTTTTGTTTTTGTGGCTGAGTTTGCTTGTGTCTCTCTTCACCACTTCATTTTTTTGTTTTGCAGTCCCGTTACTCTGATCAACTTCTGGCCAGTAGATTCTGCGTGAGTACTTCCGCTGAAGGGCGCTGCTACCACCAACACATCTGCTCGCTTGATTTTTGTTTTCTTTCTGTTTTGTTTTGAAGACACATTGATTTCTCTTCTTTCATTTTTTATTTATTTCACCTTTCTTGCCAATACTTTTTCAGTGTCATCTACTAGAGATCAGGAGAATCAGAATGGAATTTTCACATGTTGTACATGCTGAAATACAAACTAGCAAGTCTAGACTGAGTTCAAATTATTATCAATGAAATGATTGGGGTTTTAGCTGTATAGCTGGGAGACATGCTTACCCATTTCTGGAGTATGTGCAAGGAAGAGCCTTTTGGTTCTGTGATAGCATTCTTTACACATATGTCTGGAGATTTAGTGGCTGGAACTTTTTGAAGGATACTGGCTGATTCTTTAGGGCCTGTGATAAGTGGACTATTAAAAAATCAGAATTTGCTTTAGAGTACGATGATGACTTGATTGAACAATTTCAATGAAGTGTGTGGACTTTTTATCAGGTTATGTCATGCTATTTGAAAATCTTTATCTACATGAGCTTCTAAATTTTGAATTAAACTCAATTTGCTGTCATCTCCTAACTGAACATTCAGCTTGTAAGCAACTATACATTTATGCTACCATGCAAGTGGCTTCAGGCATTTTTTTTAAATCACTATTGGTGTGTATAAATAATACTAATGTTAGCAACGGAAGATTGATATACCTCTGTACTCTTTAGGGCCTTTGGTTTATTTATTAGCAAACAAAGTGTGCCTATTTTAAAGTTATATGATGTTGTATTTTTATAACAAATGTTTAGTAATTTGAAGTATACCTTTGTTCAAATCAGATGACTATTATATACAAAAAGAGAAAATGACCAATTTATAAGAACAGTTTATTTAAGAATTCAGTTTATTTTGGGGGGTTCTTTTAACAATTGTTCTAACATATAGTTTAAAATAGATCCTATTTTTGAACTCTATGGTGATAAATGTTAAAGTATTAAATCAGATTTATATTGCCTTTTTATTGGCCAAAAGGAAGTAGAAGACTTCCCTTTCTCTTTAAAAACTATTTTATCATGTTCCTTCTTTTTCAGATATTATAAAACTATACATAGTGAATGAACTTACCAAATTTGGGGAATTATTTAAACTGTAGTATATTCCTTGCAGGTTAGGAATCATTTTCCCGAACCAATGTAGTCTACTTCTTGGTTAGGAGTTAGAAACTTTGATAAGTCAGAAACTTCTTTAAAAAAAAATTGTTACACTGTGCACCTGAGCTTGATGGGTCCTGGTAAGTGGATCAGTTTGCTCTGCTTTGGAATAAATTTAATCAGTTAAGAATTTCAAAACACAAATACACTGAAGAATAATTGTTAAAATGGTAAAGAGAAAGCACAAAAATAATGAGCAGAGTTAACAGTTCCTTGAAAGGAGTTACAATGAAGTTAATGAAAAAAAAAATCACCGCAGTTTGAAGTAATTTAAGTGTGTTTGTCTCTCTTAAACTTCGAATTACCTAACTTGCTGAAATAAACTCTCTGTTTTTGTGTTTATGAAAAGTTTGTGAGATTGTTCAGAAATACTAGGATGTGCCTCTATTGAGGAAAAAACAAGCATTGTCCATGTTTTCTTTTTAATAGCAGTAATTTTATTAAAGTCTTAACTGACAGGATTATAGCTAATACACTCAAATCTATTGTAAAGCTATCCCATTCCGGCAGAGGACCATGTCCTAATGTGCTTTATTTTGCCAGAATTCTGTCTGCATGATGTTAACAAATCCTATGATGATAATATTTAATCCACTTAATATGGATCACAGGATTTGAAAATTTCCCGAGATACAGATCTTTTGGCTTTCTTTACTTACGTGCCTGTGTTTGTCAACTTAAACTTTTATAGTGCTTGTCCATAAATGAGACTATCCAGAAGTGTTGTTTGAACTAATCTGCTTGGAAAACTGTATGAATTCAAACCTATTAATGGAATTTTTACAAAAGAGACATTGATGGTGGGTGAGGTGGGTCATCCAGGGCGGTAAGAAGTAGACTTGTTAGTGTCTGCTTTTGTGTTTAGGAGATGGCAAGTGGGAAGATGGTACCACCTTCCTCTGCAAGTGGTTTTGAAGGCCTTTCACTTGGTTTTGTTTCTGGACTAAGTGGTTTTGTATTTTTGCTAATTCTTGGTTTTTAAATGATTCTTCTCTGACCAGTTCTCCCGTTTGGCTCATTTTCTGGTTTAATAAGTGCCTGGTTTAGTGCATATGTTTTTAAGATTTCTGGTTGTTATGCATTCTTGTGCTCATGCATGCTGTAATAGGTGCTTTGTATATTATGAAAACCAACATGAAATTATCCTTGAGGCTAAGAAGTAAAGCTCTGTGTTAGGATTTCTGTAGAAGATTGCTTTCAAGTGTTTTGGATTCCCATGCCTGCTTTTCTTGGTGTGCTTATTTTCCAAAGTCTCAAGATTTCCTTCTTTGAATACTACCAGCATAGCAGCTATAATGAAAAGAAACAATACAATTTTTTTCCCTTAATAGTAGGGCTTTAGCTTATAAAAAATACATAGTCAAAAGACTGACTGAGTCTAGAACATGATGCACTTAGGCCAAGTAATCCAAATATTACATAATTTGATCTGCAGTGAAATTTGCAAAACAAGCCACTGTATTTTTTTTCCTGATAATGAGTTACTCTAGGGTTCTAGAAAAATGAATGAATTAACTCTGCAGAACTATAGGGGAGAGTCTTGGGATCTGCCTGTTAAATTGGGTAGTCATCCTTTTGTTTCTTCCTAAGAATGTAAGCACCATTTAATTTATTGCAGTTTGATTATAATGCTGCTTGATCTAGTTGACATTGGCTTCATAAATAAGACCTTTATCTCTCAGGAAAGACTTCAGCTCTATACTTAACATGCTATGGTGTTGAGATTATTTTGTAATAGTGTCTTCATTAAGAAATAAGATATTGTAGTACATGTCTTATGTAAGCATACCTGTAGGTAGTGCTTTTTTTCCCTTATTTACTGTAAGAAGAAAAAAAACCTGAACCATATTCTTCTTAGTGTTAAGACCAAGTCTTTGAATGCCACTTGGACAATGGGTTAAACCAGAGTCCTTCCTGGATGCATTGCTGTTGACTGAGCACATTGCACTTCTACCAAGGAGCTTTTTGTATCAGGAAACAAGTGCAGCCGACTTCTTGTCCTATTCCAAGGAAAGCAAAATGCATAAGGCCAAACTGGTTTTTATAACAATTTAAAAAATTCCTCATGTCAATGCAGAGTATGCTATAAATGCTGAAGGCTGATTAATAAGTCAGATATGAAAGAATGAAGAAATTTTAACTCTATGAAACCAGTAGTCTGTGGAGCTGAGGAAAGATAGGTTGTTAGAAAAAGTCTATAGAATAGTCATTCTAATTCTCTCCTCTTGTCTTCCCTTCTGCATTTTAGTACATGGTACCCCTAAATAGAACTATTTTAGATCATTGTAACACACTGTTGAGTTTAATGATTCTGTTTTAGAGCATCACCATATAATCTTGAGTCACTGTTTTATTCTGAAAAGTCACAGTATAGTTCTGCTGCTAAATTGGTAGATGGATTCCCTGTTTAAGAAATTGCAGACCAAGGCAGCTTGATACGTGGAATCTTCAGCAGGCTTCAACTGGAGTAGCACCCTTACAAATTAAAATTATTGACCTTAACTAAACGTACTATGCCAAACATCTAGTTTCCATTCATTAAAAAGGCTATTAACAAATGGCCCTGGTGTAAACTGTTATAAGTTTTAAACCACGTAGTACCAACATACTTTGAGAACTGTAGGATGTGAGAAATTACAAGGGAAAAGAACAAAATGCTACACAGAATTGATCTCCCCCAACTTTTTCTATATGCCAAATTTTGCAGAGGAATTTTTGGTCTCTCTGTATGGCTTCTCTGAAAAGCATCAGCCTGCAAAATTGCTCTCACCTGAATTTAAAATCCTGCTGATTCCTAAGCTACAAGAACAACTCAATGTGTACATTTTCCTTAGAATAAAAGCATTCTAGACTATGTCTATTACAACTGTGTGGTGGGTTTTTTCTCCAATAATGGATGGTATCTATGACTAATCACATTTTCTGCCTTATAGGCCTGCTTCGTCCCCTCAACTTTCACACGATGATACTCATTCACGCATTGAACATTATGCTAGCAGGTATGAGACTAGTTGAATGCCAGGCCAATAATTGATTGAAATAACTAACCAAGGAAAGCTAACCTATAAGAATATTAAACAAATCTTTTTCTTTCTTCCCCAATCTTGTCTGATTTTTACTAATCAGCTTGCCCTCTAACGTGCATGCCTTCCACTGCATGTTATTTTTGGACACCAGCCAGAGTGTCAGTGCAGTACAGTCTTCCGTAACCCTGACCTTTAAATCTTTCTTATAGCCTTGTTATGTTTTGTATACTGAACACATTTACTGAATTGGCTTACAAATCATCTAACCTGCTTATTAGAAAACCATTAGAGTAGACATTAGTATATAAAGAAATAATATTGTTATGTGCAGAATATGAAGCACCGGCTTTCTGTTTGTGTGGTTATTTTATGCGATGCACTGCGAAGAAGACAATGATTAATGTTCCTGATTCCTCAGACATTTCGAGCCCCACTTTGTGTTTGACAGAATTTTTATACCTAAAAGCAGAATTACTAATTGTTAAATATATTATGCCTGTTAAATCTGTAAGTGTTTGGTTAAGTTTTTGCTTTGTTTTGTTTTTACACTTTGAGAAAGACTATTATCGTCTGAGATGAAGGTTTTTAAAGGTAATGTTTGGTAGCAGAACACTCAGAGAGCTTGTTGGGAATCTGTCCTTTATCACTATGCTAACTGCTGGGCATGCTTATCAGTCAAGGAAAGCAGTCGCTAGGGGAGTTTGTCATCAGGGGACGGCATGAAGCTGAAAGACAATGACTAGCAGAAGGGACAGAGTGCACTTGTTGTTAGGGAAGCTTTTCTCCTGAAGACAAAGACCTGTGTTCAGTGCAAGGACAATCAGTTTGTGGGGGAAACAACAGGACAGCAGCAGCAAAATAGCAACCTCCCTTAGAAATCATATCATAAAATAAGCTCCTGACCAGCTCTGGTCTTCTATACCCTGTCTCAAATGGTTAAGCCAACACACACGTTCTCTGATTTGAAGGATTCCTTTCTCCTCTTGCCATGATTTACCTTTTAGTTTTCAGGAATGTTCGATTAGGTCTTGAATAGATTCTAAGAAGTCATAAGTTTTAATGAGCTTTTACGTTTTTTATCAGGCTAGCAGAAATGGAAAACAGCAATGGATCTTATCTAAATGATAGCATCTCTCCTAATGAGAGCATGTAAGTATCCCATCTCTTTTTACAAAATGTTCCTGACAATGAAATTGCTATGAGGGATTTAGAGGTAGGGTAGCACAAGATACAGAAGATAGCATCATATTCATTTGATCTTTCAAGGAGCCATTCATTCAATTTTTTTTAATTTAGCAGGAATGAGCTCATCCAAATTCTGGCATTAGTGTAGTAGCAAAAATAGTTCACCTTAGTCTCATTTAAACTTATTTGACATCATATCATTACAAACTGTGAAATCCCAAATACATTAAATACTTAGTCTGTGATCAAACCTGCCAGATATGTAAAGGGATAGAATGTTAATTTTAAACTGATGGCTAATTAGTATTTTCTCCAGTTATGGAGAAAATGAGATCATGGTATAGTGTTGGTCCTCCAATACTGTAAGTCACTTGGACATTTTCCTTCAGAATTCCAGAGAACTGGATTTTTGTGACGGAGCATCTTCAGTCACAAGGTTAATGGATTCAGGAAGTCCTGGGAAGGGTTTCCAGAAGAGCGAGTACTAAAGCAGGTGTGAATTTCTTAGTTGGGTGGTGAGCCAGCCCTGCCCACCTTTAGGAAGCAGGTGGAATAGTGCTGAGAGCGAGAGAGAACACAGCTCTGGAGGAACAGTGGAGGGACCCTGTAGCGCAGGGGCAGTGTTCACAGGATGGAGCCTAGAGGAACATTCTCAGGAGCCATGTAAGTGCTCACCAGGACCTGACACAGAGAAAGCGGATTATGAAGCAGGTGTGAAGGAAGACAGAAGGCTGTTCCAAGGGAATCAGCAATGTAGCTGGAATAAACTTAGTCAAAGCCCAGTTAGGCTGTTAGTTCGGTAAGTTATGGATGTCTCACCATCTCATGTAGAGCATCAGAAGATGATAAATTTTTCACGTGTGGTTGGTGTGACAATCCAAAGCCATGTTCAAATACAAAAAGAGGCCTTATAGGGATCAGGCTGAAAGACTTGCTTTAAAGGCTGATCAGTGTAGCATTTCATTATAAGCAGTTATTGATGAGCACATGAGCTTAGATAACCTCATTGGTACATCAAGGTGATGAAGATAATAATACAGAATTTGTGTGTGACTTAGTTGTTTAACAACTGAGTAACAGCTTTTTCCCCCCAAATGTAACTGTAATGTGTTCTCCTTTTCACTCATGGAGGAGAGTTTCAATATTTGAAATATTTGGACAGGAAATTGTGTGACCAAAGAAGCAACTAGATTTAAATGGCTTGAATAATGTGCTTCTTTGGCCCACAGATTTTGATATTTAGACGCTCCAGCACACTCAAATTCAGTTTGTGTCCAAATGACAGTGGTTGCCATTCATTAAAATGCCTCAAAGAATAAGTAAGAAAAGCTTCCCTACGACTAACGCTATAATGAAATGTGAAAAGTTCTCGTAATAGAATTTCAGAATGTGGGAAGCAGGATAATAAATTAGATGGGTGGCAGAACTGCTTTTGTTTCATTCTCTAGCAAAATTGAGTTGAGCACACTTAGAAAATAAGATATATTTGACTCAACGTACAATGGTAAAAATCAGTACCGTAGGAACAGGACTGGTGGACTGGGTAACTTTGCTTCATTATTTGCTTTTAATAATGATCTGTAATTATTTTGAGTCCACTTTTCACTTCTCAACCAGTTATGTTGCTTGATAGACAGAGATAAAATAGATCAGGAGGACATTGGCCTTAATATGTGATTTTGTGCAAGTTTAAGTAGTCACAGAGGAGGAGCCTGTTAATGTTTGTAATCAGACTCAGAGCTTTGGCCTGTCACTAAGAAGAGAATGCAGTTCTTAGAACCTGGAGGTAAACAGACTTTGCTCAGAGTGGAGCAAAGCTTGCACGAAGTAATTTCTCCTGTGTATTTGAGAGCTCCACTTTTCCAGAAAGCTTGCAGCTACCTCCCAAGCTCTTAAGGCCTCTGCCACCTTTTCTCCCCAAGCTGAGTCCCTAAAGACTTGCTCTGGGGACAGAGATATTCTCTCTTATTCAGTTACCTTACGGGCTTTTTGTCCCTTATTTTTGTTCTGTCGAAGCAGCAGTTGAATGAAACCAGCATTTATCTGAAGTATAATTATTACCACCCTGCTCCCAGGACTTTTGTAGGTTAAAAATTAGTTTTCTGAAACAACACATATTAGGTATATTGCTATCCATTTAAGAAAATATTTACTCTGGTATTTTTAATGGCTGTAGGGTTATTTTTCCTAATCATTGTCAAACAGTAGTGTGGGGATAATGAGCAGATTATCTTGACAAGTGTGGTAGCAAAAGCATTTTATAGCCGTTAATATGCCTTTTAATATTAATTGTTGGCTAAACTGTCACCAGAGTCCCCGTGTGTCGGTAATTGTGCCTTTCCTTTATCCATGTGAAGTAGGTCAATTAGTTTCATTTGAAAATTGGAGCAAGTAGCACTGTGAACTGTCATCGGGAGAATGGTATACCACAACCTTGACAGTATCAAAAGGTGTTTGGAAGCAGGAACGAAAGGTCGAATTAATTGTTAAGCACAAATAAATGTATCTATTTTCAAATACACACTTGAGTCCCTGACCCTCAAAGCAAAATAAGCGGGGCAAAAAACCAAAACCTTTGATTTTATTTTCCAGAGATGATGAACATTTGTTAATCCAGCATTACTGCCAAAGTTTGAACCAGGACTCCCCCCTGAGCCAGCCTCGTAGTCCTGCCCAGATCTTGATTTCCTTAGAGAGTGAGGAAAGAGGGGAGCTAGAGAGAATCCTAGCAGATCTTGAGGAAGAAAACAGGTGAGTTTTCTTTCTAGCTTTGTCATTGGTATGCAGAGTGCATCCCCTTGCACACATAGAAAAGTGCCAGGAGTCAACTCGGCATTAATGTGTAACTGTTTTCTAAAATAATATGTTTAGCTCCATTTGCAGATTCTCTTTTTGATAATTTAAGAAGAAAATGAATGCAATAGTGTGATTAAAAATTCATATTTTAGGTGTGAAGGAATTAATGCTGATGGTGATAATTAACTTGTTGCATGTCTTCTAGAGGTTTTGGTTTTATAATTAAGAGAATTTAAGTGAAAAGCAGGGTACTGAATGATTATATGATTTTTATATGTGTTTGGCCATATTACAACTATCTCAGACATTTTAAAAAGTAGCCTTGTTGACTTGGATGTATTCAAGAACAAAGTATTTTATGTTGTGTTTCATCTTCAGAGGTAGAGTTCATTGCTTAGGCTCGCCAGCACAACAGGCTAGTGAGACAGTTGTGATTATTAGCCGTAACCTGTAAAAGGTATTCACGTAAAAGTAGCAGAAATTGCAGCAAAGGAAAAAGGCTGCAAAAATTGAGAAAGACTGCGGAGGACAAATAAAAAATGTAAAACTCTGTGATGGTTTGTGGCACCAGGGTAATGCAAATGATTGGATTTTTGCTTTTGTATTAGGTTTGTTACATCACAGGCCCCTTCGTGAAGACAGCCTTTGCGAATGATCACTTCCCACAGTGTGCCTTCTTCAGACACTTGCCACCAGGCAAATCTTTAAGGGAGAAATTGCTCAAATTTATTGCACTTCAGTGCTTTCATCTCTTTGGTGTAGCCCAAGGCACCGAGTTCTCCTAATCAAGGCAACACAATGTGTCTGAGAATTGGCACCCTCAGGGAGAGTGTCACCTCCAGATGAAAAAGCAAACTGCTGGTCATGCAGTCCTGTATGCTGCCACTGCCTGCCTTCTTACTCTTCAGACATCTGACCTATGGCCACGCCTGCTTAGCTCCCCTGTGTCTTTTTGCCACCCCTCCAGTGAATCCTGCAGACTCGCTCTAGTTGCACATGTTTAAGGACCAAGTACCTCAGTGGCATTCTGCCATCATCGTATTTGTACATTTAGGAAAATAAATAAATGAAGTGGTTTGGTGGGGGAGGGAGACAAAAGTGAAAAAGAGAAAAAGCAAGCCTTGCCTCTTAGCTGAATGTTCAAAACTTTCTACATATTTGTCTTAACCTGCTTTTCAGCTTCATCTTCCTTTGTATGCCCTGTGTTCTGGCAATGCTTTTGTGGGTTGCATTTCTGAGTACATCCTGTTCTTGCCCACTTGCTGGGCCAAGTTCAAGCTTGCATCTCAGCTTAGCTGCCCCCAAAGCCCTTGACTGCCTTGTAGGGCAGAGGAGTTCTGCCCATCCCCCTGACTCAGAAAAGCTTTGCCTGCACTCCCCACCATCCTCCCTCTCCTCAGATTTCCTGCAGCTGGGAGTGATCTAACTTTTCCTTGTAGTCCTGAAACACTTTGTAAGTTTTGTCTTGTTTTTGTTTTTCCAGAAAACTCCTCAAGGACAGTTTTTGCTTTTTTGTCAGGTATTACCAGTGTCTCCCTGTAATGAGATAGTGGGTGCCTTTGGGGCAAGGGCTGCCTTAATGTTACCTTCAGAGGTCACCTGTAGTACCCAGCACAGTAAGAAAAGTATATGGGATTTCATAAAATGGCAGGCGAAAACTTGAGAATGCAACAGGGCTATCGTACGAGTACCATCCAGGAGGTAAAATTGGATTTTTTTTGTTGTTGTTGTTTTAGTAGAAACTATTTTGGGTCTTATTTGTCAGATTGTTGAGAATGAAGATTGTGGCAGATGAAGACATTCTCCTTAACATTATTGACAATCACTGTGTGAAATCTTTCATCATCATAGGGGTCAAAGAGGAAGCAAAAATTGGGATTGGCAGTGTAAATCGAATTTGATGTGATCGGGGAATAGATACGCTTTTGCAGTGCCTAATGTTTGGTGTTCTAGTTCCTTGCTGAAGAGATATGTTGTGGTGGCTGTTCGCACACTCTCCTGCATTCCATGGCGAGCAGCTCAAAGAGAATTGACAGAGTAGTGGTATCCATCATTTGTATATCATTTCATTCTTCTCAAAGCACTGTAATATATTTTAGGTCATTTAATCTTCCTAAAAGCTCTGTGTGAAATAAGAGGTTAGTCTCTGTGAATGAGAAAATGCAGTCTCTGAGAAGTTTCAATAGTTTGTTCCATTCTCCACAGCCAACCAATAGTAGAATTTACTTCAAATCCAGGTTTTTTTTTTTTTTCTGGGTTAAAGTATCTACCTCTGTCTTGGACAAGTTTTCTTTATTTTTAAAGAGAATCACTTTATGTAAATATTATTTATGTGGCATTGTGACATATTCCACAGAATGTGTCTTAGTGTGTGGGCTATTTCAGAAGGATGTGAGCATCCTTGAATAAACCTCAGTGTATGTTCTTGTGGTACAGTAATAGCAATTGGGCCTGAAGGATACCTTAAGAATAGGAGGATTTGTTTTCTGGAAAAAAGAAATCACATGGGGTCTACTTAAGGATCTAAAAATGTGAAATCTCATGTTGATGCGAGTCTTTCTAAAAGTTATCTTGTGCTTCTAGAAACGGTCAAGGGGCTGGCATTATGGTGCAGTGAGTTAAAGTTGCCACTTACAATGCAGACATCCCATACTGGAGCAGGCATTTGAGTTCTAGCTGCTCCACTTCACATTCAGCTTCCTGCTAAGTCACCTGGGAAGGTAGTAGATAATAGCCTGAGTGGTTGGATGCCATCACCCAGGTAGGAGACTCAGTTGGAGATCTTGGCTCTTGGTTTCTGCCTGGTGGTGGCCATTTTAGGAGTGAACATTGAATGGAAGATTTCTGTCTGCCTCTCTTTCTTACTCTGCCTTTTAAATAAATACATCTTTTGAGAAAGAGAAAGAGAGAGAGAAAGCTCATCATGAGTGTAGATCTCATCTTTACTCACATTTTCACCTCCTGCGAAAACCCATGGAATTGCCACAGTTTGTTCCCTGGCCAAGCCCGGCTGGTGTGCTTGTGCTGGCTTGCACTTATTCCCAGGACACTTCAGAGGGTTCCTTTGCCTTTATGACCTTTGAGTTCCATGTTTCTTAAGAACCCTTAATTGGCTGGTTCCCACCCCCACCCCCCCTTTTGGTCCTTACCCTGAGAAACCCAGGAAATCGTTAGGTGCTCTCTAGAGCCTGTGCCTGCCAAACTAGCTTTTTCCCAAGTCAGTATTGGGCTATATAAATGACAGATAGAAGCACATTGAAGAGCAAATGGGACAGGATGTTTAAAATTGAGATTATCTGAAGGCTTTTGGATGTGTACTTGCCAAATCTATGTGTGTTTTGTGTTCCTTTATTCCACAGTTACGAGTTATGGACAAATACCAGTTAGCCAGGGAGAGAGTGTGGAGACTTCATTCCTGAGTAGATATGTTGCTGAATTTTGATAAGTATTCTTCTTCACTCCTCACCATGATCCCATTGGACAGCTGAAGGTGGCTGTTTGAGAGGGATCCCTGGGGTATCTTATCTCTGTCTGTACAATTCCGTTTTCCTGAATTGCTACACATAGCATTCAATAAATATTTGAATACATGAATAAATGAAATTAAATGAAGCTCAGTGTATTTCAGTCATAACACACATGAATGCACTTTTGACTAAAATTATTTTACAGACCCAGTGTCATAGAGAAAAGCTTTTCAAAGAGTTTTTATGGCTCACTTTTCAGGATACTGCTCTTTACAGATTAGCACCAAGCATTGTTTCGTCTTAAGTTTAGAATGGGAAAGATTAATTTTTCAAATCTCAGGCAGTAGGTTTTTTTCTCCCTATTATTGGCTTCTGAATGATGTTTTATGCCACAAAGATTAGGCTAAAGTTCTGAGCAGATGTTAAACAGGCATCTGGATTGTTGATGAATGTTTATTTCACTTCTCCATAATACTCCATTCTCTCTGTCATAACCATTGGTATTTCTGCAGCATCTGATCTTGTTAGAGACGTTGAGAGTCCTGACCATTGCATATCCTTAGTGTTGAAAAGGAAAGGTTTATTTATTTTTTCCTGTGTGGCTTAAAGACTGTAGTCTGTTGACTTTGTTTAAATGCTGAAGTTTTATTCTGTGGCACTGCTAAAGGAATCAAGACCTGCTCTGCAATTGAAGGTAAGAACCTGGCAATGAAAAGCTAGTTACAAGAGACAGACTCATTGTCATTCTACTACTTGCATGGCGATTTGATTAGATTGTTTCCAAATCTAATAGGCAAGCAAACGCTAACCTAAATCACCATAAAGTCAGTTAATTAAGGCTGGTATTAGATGTTGTATAACAATAAGGGCCTCTGGATTCTTGTAGCTACAGAGTACTGTTCACATCATTGTAGTTGGGCAGGTAGACTCTACAGTCTAAACGTGAGGTTTTTCTTTTTTACCTTCCTCCAGTGGTTATGCAAGGTAATTAATAGTATCATCAAAGACATTCTTGATTAGTGAATCATATCACTGAATTAAACAGCTGGAAATCATAATCCCATCCCCCTTCACCTGCTATAGTCTTATGACTTTCCTTCTGGTAGAGGAATTAGCAATGATAGCCTCAGGTCAGAACCTATATTTCTTCCATTAGGACTTTGTGTGGCTCTCAAATAAAGCTAAAATAGCTAGCAGGAAGGAAGCTAAAGCGGGTCAAGGTTGGGCAGTTGCAGCTGGGGTATGAATATGCCTGACCCTCCACATCCACTGATACCCTAGCCATAGATTCAGCCAACCGTAGATGAAAAGCATTTTTAAAAGGAAAAAACAGACATGCACAGACCTTTTTGTCTTGTCATCATTCCCCAAAACAATATATAACTTGCCAATCATTGAAATAATATTTACAATGTTTTGGGTATTATAGTGTAAAGATAATTTGAGGTAGGCAGGAGTATATGCAGAAGTTAGACTGCAGATAACATA